TCAAACCCTCAGCGTACAGCGATGCTTTTCCGGGTCCGGCAGCCATTTTCGCGCCCTCCCCTCGTTTACCAAGGGCGCGAAAACGCTGTGCGCGGCTGTTCCGGCAGCCATTTTGTACCCACCGAACAGCTGATCGGCGGGTTGCAAAGCCGAGGTCGGTAAGCGAACCACTTACCGACCTTCGCTCTGCGATTTTTGCCCTATGCGGGCATCGTTTTGCAATCGCATTTGCGATCGCAAAACCGGCCTCGTAGAGCGGATTCATCGCTCTACGAGGTGCCCATTGTGCGAGGCACCACTGTACTTGCATTTTTACATGATCTCGAACTGCTAGGTTGGCAGGAGTTGGGACAAGCGATGGGGGCTCACTCCATCATATGGATTCGATCTTACGACTGCTGGTCTTCTGACCTTGCAGCACAGAGGCTTATGCGCTTTAACCCGCAGCACCACCTAAATGAATTGTTTACCTCTTACCAGAATGAAAAGTTTTGTTAGTTCAAAAACGGTGATAATCTAGACAAACCTGAAACATTTTAATCTACAGGTACACAGCTCCCTTGTTCTTGATTTTTTCCCCTATTTTTAACCTTCCTTGCAAGTCTATGTGTCTTCATGGGTTTTAAAACTTCAGATTCCCCTCGCCCCACAAACCTTGGCTGTCTCTTTATACTCTTCCTTAATGGTCGTCCTTCTTTTCCTATAGATTCTCTTTTTAGATCTCAGCTCATCTGAAAGTTCTTTATGCCATCCAGGATTCTTTCTAACCCACCCCACCCCGTTCTTTCTCACTGAAATTGTTTGTGATTGTGCCTTCAGTATATCACCATTAAGAGACATTCACCTTTACAAACCCCCTACTCTTAGTATTTCTGACCATAGAATGCCACCTGGCTGTAATCCTGGCACTGTAATCAGTCACAACACTAGGCCCATATAACCCATGGGGATTTGGTGAGTCAACTCCTCCATAAGTTCATTGATACATCTAGCTACAACTTCCTTTAGCATGGCAGGTTGTAAGCAGAGAAGATTTATTTGAATCGGTGTGGCTCTACTCAGAAGTTGACTCATCAAATTTCCACTGGGCCTGTTCCCCCCCGGCAGGCAGGGACGGGCGGGCAGGTGGCCCTGACGCTCCTTCTGGGCTGGCTGGCTGGCTTCCTCCTCCTTCCTCGCTCCCTCACTGGCTGGCTTTGTTCTTATTGTTGATTCCTCCCCCCATTGAGATGCACTGAATAGGTTTCAGGAGCTCAGCCAGTATTTCCTTACGCATATTGAAATCAATGTTCTTAAAATTCCAGTTGCAAACGGTACTACCCTCTCTGCAGTTTCCCCTCTTCTCAATGCAGTAGGGACCCCCTTATCTGCAAGATCAGTATCTGCTGATTTACTTATCCATGATGTGAAAAATATTAAAAGAATTAATAGAAATATATATTTCTAAAGATGAAGTTACCAAAACTGTTAAAATCATGTTCACTATAATGTGCGTTTTTTACCATCCCCCGCAGATATGGGGATCCTACTGTGCAAGAAAACTTAAGTACTGAATCCAAGGGGGGCTTACCTCCAGGAAACTGGAGATGGGAAACTTCTCTGGCTTCCATAATTTCAATAGAACTGAAGGCAAATCTTATCCCCTTGAAGGCTAGAAACTTGTCTTTTTGGAAAGGGGACCTTGAAAGCTAAGATTCACAGGATGCCAAGTTCTGAACCACCTTGCATTTTGTACTTTTCCAAACCTGTGAAGTATTGCCACATCTGAAACACCCTGTATTGCTGGCTATCACCTACATTGGGTTTTTTCCTGTTTTGGATCAACACAGTTAATGTTCTGTGTGTACTGTTGACCTTTTTACATCAGAATTATATTTCAAGGAAAAGGCTAATCTGATACTTTTTGCAACCATCAAGCCATCTCCATTGATATTGGTTGTGACACTGTATCTATGGAGACACATCAGCCAGAATATAGAAAACGAGAGGTTAAATATAAGCAATTGCCTTTTAAATTATTTTCAGCATTTTCTCCCTCTACAGCTCCACCATCTATTTAGATCTGTTTAAACTGAATTTTTGTTTCCAAGTAACTTTAACATACACAAGGTGGGGTAGAAATATTTTAAATAAATAAATAGGTTCTGTTACTCACTAAGTCTGCTGCATGCTCAATGAAAATACAATTTCCAAATTTTATCTTCTGCACCACATCAGGGGGGACATCATCCCGCAACTTGGCCTGCTGCTCGATCAATTGCTGTAGGCGTCTGTTTGGGAAAATGTCTTCTGTGCAGATGTAAACAGCACCTGCAATGAAGGGGAACATTACCAGCACAATAAGCTTCTCAGCACTACAGTCAGTTTGAATTATACAGCTACAGTGGCGGCTTTTAAAAGCTAGCTTCAGGAAGGATCCGTAAAATCACAGAATGATGGGAATTGAAAAGGGCCTATAAGACGATTGAGTCCAACCCCCTGCTCAATGCAGGAATCCAAGTAAAGGAGACCTGAGAAATGGCTCTCCAATTTTCTCTTGATTGACTCCAGTGTTGGAGCAGTCATCACCTCCTGAGGTAATTGGTTCCATTGTCGTACTGCTCTAACAGTTAAGGAGATTTTCCTGATACTCAGCCTAAATCTGGCTTCCTGCAACTTGAACCCATTATTAAGTGTCCTGCACTCTGGGATGATTGAGAACAGGCCCTGTTCCTCCTCTGTATGACTGCCTTTCAAGTATTTTAAAAATGCTATCATGCCCAGCTCTTTCCGTTTTTCCTCACAGGGCTTGGTTTTCAGTCCCCTGATCATATAAGAGGTACAGTATGACTTGTGCAAAGAAAGGAATTTTAATTTTGCTTCCACCTACTAGGCTGCAGAGCCACTGACGAGGAGCCACTGTAACTAAGCGGTTAGAATGCATGCTTCCATGCAGAAGGTTTCAGGTTTGATTCCCTAATATTGCCGGTTAAACATATTTAGGGACGTGGTGGCGCTGCCGGCTAAACCGCAGAAGCCTGTGCTGCAGGGTATAAGGCAACAGCCTAGGACAATATTAAAAAGTTTTATTTCAAGGTTGTTATCTGCTGTCAAGTGAATTCGGACTCAACCCTAAGAACTCACAACTTCCTTTAGTGAGTAAATTCACCTCATAGTTGGTCTTCCTCTTTTCCCACAACCTGTCTTTTCTAGTGTGTTTTCTCTTCCCACGATGTGCCCAAAGCACAATAATCTCACTTTAGTCATTTTTGCCATTTATTTGAACAGCTGGCCTTAAATGACCTTAAACATTGTCAGGAAGCATAAAGACTTTCATCAAAATCTGCGGTCCTAGATGCAGAACTCAGCTTCGCCAGAATCCTATCTTTATTTATTTAAAGACGTATCCAGCTTTATGGTTGCAAAGATATGCTTAGAGGTATCTTGGCAATACCCACCAGAATTCAATACCTGACCTGCAAAAACAGGAAAGATTTCCAAGGATTGGAATTATGGTTTAGTAGACCACCGAGTGCATTTCCCTTCCCAGCAATAAATAAAAGTAGAGCAAAACAAGGCAACAATCGTACATAACAGAACTGTAATAATTCCCAGATCTACCCAGACAAGCATGACAAAAATTGAAGGCACAGAGACGAAAGTGAAGTAATGAGGTAATAAACTTTTTCTAAGTCTCTTAGGAAAGGGTATAAACAGGACATTCCGAGTAAAACAACAAACTGCATAACAAAACATACCAAAACAGTAAAAGGAAATAGGGTGATGGCAGCTCAGGCAACACCCACAGCAAGCACACACCGTCTCTGCCTCACTCTGTCAGTGTGAAGCAGCTCTGTGTCAGGCAAAAGCTTTGCAGAGCCGTACTGGGAAGAGAGACAGAACTCATTGGCTCTAAACTAGGTCATCCATCCAGGTGAGGTCCATTTCAGTTAAGACAATCACATTCATCCCATAATGACAGAAATGTAGATCTTGCCATATCCCAACAACAAGCAGTATACAGTGGTGCCTCACTTAATAAGCGCACCGTTTAACGACGAATCCGCATAGCGACCCGTTTTTTGCGGTCGCTAATGCGATCGCATTGTGATGTTTAGATAGGCTAAACATCGCATTGCGATTATTTCTGCACCCGGTAGCCATTTTGGGAACAGCTGATCGGCGGTTCCAAAATGGCCGCAGATGCAGAAAATAGCTGCCCGCACCATTTTTGCGCCCTGCCCTTGCTTACCGGGCAGCGAAAATGGCGTCCGGATCCAGGATTCTTTGCTTACCGGTGAGTTTAATGCGTTCCTATGGCTTTTCCCCGCCCGGATAGCGAAGAATCCGGATAGCGACGTTAATCCTGGAACGGATTAACGTCGCTATGCGGGGCACCACTGTACAACAGAGTGCTGTCCTCTGAAGATGCTGGACACAGAGACTGGCAAAATGTTAGGAAGAACGACCTTCAGAACACGGCCAAAGAGCCCAAAAAACCCACAACAACCATTAGATCCTGGCCGTGAAAGCCTTTGCGAATACATCAAGCAGTATACTTCTTACCGGATTCTAGTCCACCATATTTGTGTGGGTATTGCACAGTAAGGCAGAGTTGCAAACCAATTTGCGTCTTCCCAGCAGAGCTTTCGCCAGCAATTTCAGTAATTCCTGTGAGAGGAATGCCACCTCGGAGCAAGCCGTCTAGAACTGGACACCCCAAGCTTAATCTCAGGCGTTGGGAAGTCCTGTGGTTTTTGTCTTGAAATAACTGAAGAGCTAAGACAATGTAGAAGACAAGAAAGTCATGATAGTTTATCTGCAAGAGAGCAATCTGTAGGCCGACTCTCTTTTTGGTAACTGGCATCTGTAATGTTTTCCAGACTTTCCCTGACAAAGTTAGATTTCATACACCTGAATCGGAAAGGGAATATCAACACAGGTTTTCTTGAAAATTCAGGCCAATAGTTAAACAAATATAAATTGTATAGATGTGTCCATGCAGCTGGGATTTTTAAAGTTCTTCTTTAAGGGCTGTTATCCCGAGATACCTATGCTTGTCTACACAAAATAGGAAATTCCTGATTATTCTTTATTTCAGCAGTGGGAATCCTACTGATGCTTGTGCTAGATTGTGCAAAATGTGTTGCTGCAGCTAATTGATGAGTTGCCAGGTGCATTCTGGCTGTGCACATTGACACATGATCAGGTATCCAGTCAATTAGGTATGGTAACTTAACGCAAATCTTACATGAATATCAGTAGGATTCTGGCCAGTGTTGTTATACCCCCTTTTGGAGGAGAGATACATCACACAGCATCAAGGAAACAGCAACTATAAAATACACAAGTAATAATAAATTGTACCACTTTGAGATGCTAGCTATTAAAAATGTGTTGGAATAAAATGTGTATAAGTGAGAAAAGCCTCAGAAATGGAACGACAGTTATAAACAAGTTTGAGATAAACTGCTTTCAGACTATTTAAGGCTTTAAAGGTCTACTAGGAGCTTGAATAGAAGCCAGAAACAAATCAGAAGCCAAGAAAGCTCATAAAAAATGATCCACTGATCCGGTCAGAACACCACAACATTGTTGTTATTACGTGCTGTCAAGTCGCTTCTGACAGTGACCCTCTGATTTTATGACCTCCGTGGAGTCCTATCCTTGGCAACACTCTCAGGTAAAGCTGTGGCTTCCCTTACTGAGTTGATTTATCTCACATTTGGGCTTGTCTTACTGCCTTCAACTTTCTTTTAGCATTACCGTCGTTTCTGTTTAGTTGATCCTCTCGGTAAAGCAGGGAAACAGTAGCTTGTCACCAGAAAGCAAATGTTTCCATTCTCCCAACTCCTGCTACAAATTACAGACCTTCCATTAATGGTTTGTTTGTTCAAAGGAGGATGACAAGGATGATCGAGGGGGAAGGAAACCAAGCCCTCTGAGGAAAGACTGAAAGAACTCTGCAAGTTTAGCCTTGAGAAAGGAGACTGGGGTAAGATAGGATAGCACTTTTTTTAGCCTTGAGAAAGAAGACTGGGGTAAGATAGGATAGCACTTTTCTAATATTTGAAAGGCTGCCATATAGAGGGGAGTCAGGATCTGTTCTTGATCATCCCAGACTGGAGGACACACAACAATAGTTACAGGAAGCCAGATTTCCTCTAAATATCAGGAAAAACTTCCTAACTGTTAGATCAGTACGACTGTGGAACCAATAACCTCAGAAGGTGGTGAGCACTCCAATCAATGCTATAGGCAATCAAGGGAAAATTGGACAACCGTCTGTAGGATCTGATTTGATTTGGATTCCTGCATTCAGGGGGTCAGGCTCAATGCCTTTATAGTCCCCTTAAATTCCATTATTCTATGACTCTATGATGTCAAAATCTAGAAAGAGCCAGCCCTTTTCTTTCCCCTTAACAAGGAGTATCCCAACCAATTCTTTTTAAGACACTGTCCTCCAAAGAGCCTTATTTAAAAACAACAACAACAACAACAACAACAACAACAACTACTACTACTACTACTACTACTACTACAACACCACTACTACTACTCTGGAAACACTCATTTTATGTCATCCAGACTACAAAGTGAAAATGCCTTTTCTCCCTAACCATTACAAAATAATGACTACTTGTGGAGCCTGTTACCTGTAAGGACAGAGCCTTTTCTTAGGGCACTGGAAATTGTTCTTAGCAGGTAGTGTACATCCACACTGGACAGTTTTGTCAGTCTCCGCAAATCTGCTTGTGAAAGATTGAAAATCTCTTTGATTGATTTGATGTTTGCTGAAAGGGGGAAAGTAAATAAATATAATTAGCCTGGTATTTGTAGTGTGAAAAATAGTCATAGGACACAGGGAATAAGTATATATTATTATTAGTCTCTCACGTTGAAATCTCATACCCATTTACCTGGAAACAAAGTCTCTTGTGCTATGACTTCTTCAGAGCTTGAATTGCTCTGCTAATGACTGTTCTGAGGTAAAGTTACTAGATTTACTCCCGGGCGCCCTCATCTCTGTCAAGTGATTTACCTCTCCAGAGTTTGGTAGTCCGTAGGTCTTTTCAGACCTAGCCAGATTAGCCAGTGGCAATGGCTGCCAGGGCCTGATGGTACCTCTCCAGAGGTTGGTGGTCCGCTGGTCTTATCAGACCTAGCCAGATTAGTCACTGGCAATGGATACCAGGGCCTGACGCCGAGGGAGGTCGAGAAGGAAAGAACAAGGAACAGGGCCTTCTCGTCAGTGGCCCCTTGCCTTTAGAACAACTTGCCAGTGGAGATCCGCCTGGCTCCCTCTCTGGGTGTTTTCAGGAATAAACTTAAAACCTGGCTATTTGGGCAGGCTTTCCCTCCTGCCGTATCTTAATTTCTTATACTCTCACCACCTTTGTTCTATAATATATGTGTTGCAACCCCAGACCTACTGGAGTATCCCACCCTTTGTAAACCACCCAGAGTAGGTAGACCTTTGGTCTAGATGGGTGGGAGAGAAATCCAATAAATAAATAAATTAAACTACAACCAGGAATTTCTGGAGGGACACCTGTTCCCCATCCCTATTCTATAAGCTAGTTGTAAAGCACATTTCTGTAAATTTTCTCCCTGAAGTCAGTCACACTATGCTCAATGCAGCAAAGGCATCAAGTTACAGATTTGGTTTCTTTACAGAAACGCCTGATTGGATCCACTACACCTAAAGCGACAGTAACAATAGGTCTAGGCTTAAGGGGTTACACAAGTCCTTTTTGCAGTCAGTGGAACATTTCTAGCCGCCAAGAGTGGTCGGAATGACCAGATAGGCGGGGAAGTCAGTCACACTATGCTCAATGCAGCAAAGGCATCAAGTTACAGATTTGGTTTCTTTACAGAAACGCCTGATTGGATCCACTACACCTAAAGCGACAGTAACAATAGGTCTAGGCTTAAGGGGTTACACAAGTCCTTTTTGCAGTCAGTGGAACATTTCTAGCCGCCAAGAGTGGTCGGAATGACCAGATAGGCGGGGTATGTAATNTGGTAGGACAGGGCATCAGAAGTCAATATACATTTAAATGATGGTATCAATGGCCCATCCAATCTGATGGGCACATCTCAAACGAAATGTTGTTTGTTGTTATGCGCCATTGAATTGCTGCTGACTTATAGTGACTGTATGAATGCGTGAGCTCCAACATCTCCTGTCCTCAACTGCTCTGCTCAGCTCTTGTAAACCCAAGCCTGCAGTTCTTTTAGGGAGTCAGTCCATCTCGTATTTAGTCTTCCTCTTTTCCTGCTGCTTTCAACCTTTCCCTGCGTTACTGTCTTTTCCAGAGAATCCTGCCTTCTTTCTCGTGATGTGCTCAAAGTAGGACAGCCTCGGTTTCATCATCTTTGCTCCTACGTAGAGTAGTTCAGGCTTGATTCGATCTGGGGCCCACCAGTCTGTCTTTCGGGCCATTCAGAGTATCTGCAAAACTCTTCTCCAGCACCCCATTTCAAACAAATAATGAAAAAAATTCTTGTGCACAGCAGCCAAGCTAAATTAATTATTGTGTGTGTACAAATACACATACGGGGATACACAGAGAGCCACATTACCTTTCTTAATAGCTGCAATCACTCTTGGGTTCATGTCAAGCTGATCCCACTCCATTTCTTGACAAATAATTAACCACAAAATATCCTGTAACCCAGAAAAGATGACAAGCATAGATAAGAACTTCAGAAAGATGCTACCAAAAGAAGTGGCAGAGAGTGAATTTCCTAACTTGTTTCATTCCCAGCTTCTACCACTCACTTCCATGCAACAGTTTCACTTGGATTTACATTCATTGTGAATTTCGTTGTATGGGTATACTGTGTATATACTTACAATGACAATAAATTAAATTCCTTCTTCTTCTTCTTCTTCTTCTTCTTCTTCTTCTTCTTCTGCTTCTGCTTCTTCTTCTTCTTCTTCTTCTTATTATTATTATTATTATTATTATTATTATTATTCAGATCATAGAGCAGAGCTAAGAGAAGAAAAACTAAGTAGGTCCATTTGGGACCCTTACAGCAGAAGTGAGTAAAAATTCAACCTATGGGCCACGTTCTCCCTGCAGGGGCACATTTATTCCTCCAAGATGGAACATTAAAAAAAATCCAACAAAAATGGGAAGTTCCTTTCTGGGAAAAGCCTCCGGGAGTGTCTTTTTTTGACTTAGACAGGTTGAAATGAGAGGTTACAACTGGGGCATTCTTCCTGAATTTTTAGAAGGTAAAATGATACCTTTTAAAATGATTTTTAAAAGGTTAAATCATTATGCATTCCATAGTGAGATCTGCAACATGATCCCATGTAAATTTATTCAGAGGTAAGCCCTGCTAGCATTCAGTGGGACCTCGTTTCCTAGTAAGGCTGTCTTCTAAAGACTGTAGGACTACCACAGAGTAAATAGCAGTGCTTGCGATCTGTTGACTTTAACCTTACCTAATCTCTGTTTTCACCACTTCAAAAAAATTTAATTTTTCGGCAGGCATTTGACATGCTGTACCAAGTACAGTTCTGAACTGTCCCTTTGTTTCATACACAGAATCTATCTGTATTTTGCTGTTCGTTTTTTGTTGTTCTTTGACTTGAGTTTATTGGATAGGCCCAATGATAACTAATAAACGAATGAATTGTCCTCTCTAATAACATGTCAGGTTTATTAAGAGGTCTGCACAGCTAATTTGAGCAGGATCCACCCTCAAATAAGGCTGCATTTATAAGCAAGTACTGTACGATTGTTTTAAATTGCTTGACAATGAGGAAGGAAGTGGTGAGGAGGAAAGGACACTCAAATATAAAGCACGAGACACAGCAAGCAAGCAAAAGGTCAGCCATAAAGGGTAGGTATGACATTGTTGCCATTACCGAAACTTGGTGTGACGAAACCCATGACTGGAATATTCTGCCAGAAGAATATAATTTATTCAAAAGAAACAGACTCAACAAAAGAGGAGGAGGAGTTGCACTATATATAAAGAATTACTACTCCTGTACTGTAATACAGGAGACTAAGAATGCTCACTGGAAGGACAGATCCTGAAGCTGAGGCTCCAGTACTTTGGCCATCTCATGAGAAGAGAAGACTCCCTGGAAAAGACCCTGAGGTTGGGAAAGAGCGAAGGCAAGAGGAGAAGGGGACGAGAGAGGACGAGATGGATGGACAGTGTCATTGAAGCGACCAACAGGAATTTGACCCAACTCTGGGAGGCAGTGGAAGACAGGAGGGCCTGGCGTGCTCTGGTCCATGGGGTCACAAAGAGTCAGACACCACTAAACAACGAAAGCCTCCCTGAAGCTCTTTGGATGAATACTAGGGGAGAAATGAATAGCATAGCTGTAGGCGTATACTACAGGCCACCTAACCAAGCAGAGGAAATAGATGAACATTCTGCAAATCAGTTAGCTGAGATGTATAGAAAACACACCACTGTAATAATGTCCTCCATTCACTTCTTATATTCCTTGGTTCCGCCCTCCTGCACAACCATTGGCTACTGAATCAGTGTTCCATTGTGATGGACAGGTGTGGTTTCTGGCCTCTCCGTCACACCGTCAAATGCCCATTCCTGGACCTTTGAGAGTTGTAGCACTTCCAGAAACCTTTCACTCCCCATCACTGCACCCCAAGCACTGTGGGGGATTTGGGCCACTAGAGAGCACAAAGGAGATTTTTCAGTTTTCAAAAAAAAGCTACTTTATGCCTTGAGATGGCCAAAAACACTTTTTTAAAAAAATTATCTAGGTATGTGGGATAATTAGAAGTGCTGGGGGACACTAAAGACTCATTAGAAATGTCTAAGAGAACACAAAGGGCATTTCTGGACAGAATATTTTTTAAAAATATATATCTGGGGGATTTAATGTGGGGTTGCTAATTTACCTATATTTACCTAATGTTTTATCCACCAACTGAAGTCAATGCATATTCTCTAGAGATGTAAACTACATTATTTTTTCTCATTGATTGCTGTCTTGACTTGGTGAGTGCTCTGAAATGGAATTTCCTACCCCCATGTTATCATTCTATTTGAGTCAAATAGGTAATGAGACAAAGGCTTCTGCATTTCTCATGCTTATTCATGCAGAGGAGCTAACCTAGGATTTACTCCCCAAGATGGTTTTCTGTAATTTTTTGTAAGTCATTTTGATGTAAGTCATCTCATTATTTCACTAACCAAGCAATAGAGAAGTACAAGAAACAGAGAAAGAAGCAAGGGTTTTACTTGGATTTGTTCTCCTGAGTGTATAGGTGGTCTGCACGCAGGTAGAGGATTACAATCACAGGAAAAACATCCCGCTGTCTAAAGAAGTCACACAGCATCCTGAGAGACTCTTCCCATCCTGCTTACAACTTTTTTGAATGGTTGCTTTCTGGCAGAAGATATAGAACAATTAAGACTTGGACCACACATTTTCTGAATAGTTTTTATCCCAGAGCTATAATTGCACTTTATAATGAGCTTAAAGACCACCAGTAGTGAACAGTTGGACAGTGTTATTTAGCCTGCCTTGTAGATGTTTGTATTTTTAGTGGGTGGGCAGTGTTTGGAGATTTTTTTATGTGTGTGCATGTGGGTCTGAGGGAACGTCGAGGTAGGAGCAGCTGTCAATTGCAACTGTCTAGGTCTCTGTGTGAATTTCATTGTATGGGCATACTATGTATATACTTACAATGACAATAAATTTATTTGATTTGATAAATAGCCATTCAGAAAAGCTAAAGTAAAACCTTTCAAACAAACAAACAAACAAACCAGGGTGGTGTAGTGGATAGAGTGATCACATTTCTGCTCACTCAGAGAAATTCACTGCAGTGTGGCAATAGTAAACCATTCTGAATATGAGGGTCACTGTAGGTGAAAAATTACTTAACAAGACATAACAACAAAGATATCAAAATCTGATCTCAGCTCAGGAGACACTAGGGACCTTTTCAAGCATGCAGTGGAATACAAAATATGCCGTTGGCGGGGGGGGGGGGGACTGGGC